TGGCAGCTTACATCACCATTAAGCATTTTAGACATGCAGTCGAAGGTTGAGATTTCACCCTATCTACGGACCATAAGCCTCTTACGTATGCTTTGCATACTAAGTCTGACCGGTACTCACCCCAAGAAACCAGAGACTTAGGCTATATTTCACAGTTTACGACTAATATTCAGCATGTTTAAGGCAAGTAGAATTGTATTATGGGCGATTTATCAAGTATTCTTGAAGCCTTGAAGTATTTCACGGGTTCGAGGATAAGCCCAATGCTCCCGGATCTTGAGTTGTCGTTTTCCGATTGATGGACAGTCCCCGCTGACGAGAATTCGAGAGCACCGCTCTTTACTCAGGTTAATTGAGATGGGGATATAGGTAACGGAAAGGAACAATCTGGAAGGGAAGACGGGAGGGGAAGGGTGCAGTATCTACTTGCAGTGAACAATTATGCGCATCTGGATGGTGAACGCATTTTTACATACAAGTAGGTAAAATTGACATGGTGCACACCTAGACATACGAAGGAAGTTTATGACACTTGTTTTCTAAAGAGGTTTTTTCAAACGTTTTCGTTTTTGTTTTCTTTTTGTTTGTTTTGTTTTTCCATGCACAAATACACAACAACAACAAACATTGTGACTCATTGCAGTTAGGATAAATGCATTTAAAACGATAACGCGGCGCGTGGAGAGATAGATGGACAGATCGAGAGCGAACAACTAATGGTAGTTGGTGGTAGTGTGTTTAAGACCAAGGAGAATATCGAGCTTGTGTTTGAATATGCTCTTTGAAGGCGCATCAACAACCTCCTGCGGGAGGCTGTTCCATAATGGAATGACTCCATGGGTAAAGAACCAGTAACAAACTCGGGTGCGGGGTCGAGGCTTAAACAACTTTTTGCTGTGACCACGAAGACTATCTAAGCTACATTGTGTGAAAGACTGGATCGCTGTGTCCGTGGAGAATAAGTAGTAAAGAAGAAAAATTTCCGCTCTAATGCGGCGGGTTTCTAAGGGGTAAAGGTTCATTGTGGTGAGACGGATGGGGTATGCAACACGGAAAAGACCTGAGACTAGCTTTGTGGCTGCTCGCTGAACTCGTT